GAATACATACTTTTCTTCTTTCTTTTCTTCTTTCTTTTTTGCTTTTATTTTTATGATTTATATACGTATGCATTTACTTAATCAACGGTGCTAGAAATTTAAAGTCCGTTGCATCCTTTAAGTTCCCGCGTTTACCCTTTATCGGAAATTTATGCATCGTACATCTAATCTTAATGTTTCCAATGAATGTATTGTACAAAATTTTCTGTAGACATTTAATGTTTTCAATGAATGCGCTGTTCAATATTGATTTTCTGTGGCGCAGCAGAATTTTTGAGTTTTCTCCTTACCTGCTATCAATATATATCGATTTTTTATTAATAACATGCATTACTTTTCCTCATTAAAGTTAAAATAACGATTCCTCATATATAAACATGTCTGATAAAGACCAAAAGAAAGACGAAAATAAAGACAAAAAGAAAGAAGAAAAGAAAGAAGAAAAGTATGTATTCTATATAATCTGCAATATATATTTACCTTTATATATTTTATATATAAATAATAACCAACTTTGTAAAAAAAAAATAGTTGGTTTTCTCAACTTGGTACTCAAATCGGTACTCAACTTGGCAACGCGATCAAATCGTTCGTACCTGAAAACATCATACGTGATAGACAAGTTCTATCCGCTTTTGATCATGTGGATGATTTGATAAATGATACAATAAATCGTACTGATCTTCACCCGGAACTTAATCTGGATGCTACTGTGAGGTGATTGAAATTATTATTATTATTATTTCAAAGTCAAAAAAAGATTTTAATTTAATCTATAATTCTATAATAAATTTATGATCATTCAGGAGATCTAATGACCTGTGTGATAAAGAAAAACAATTCGTCAAGGATAGAAAAAATTTTATCCGTGAAGCTTTTGCTAAATATATTGGTGTTGATATCAGTGAAGTCCATCCTGATGATATTCCAACCATGGCATTTATGGGAAGTGGTGGTGGATTTAGAGCAATGATAGTTGTCACTGGTAAGTAATTCTTTTTTTATACTAATAAATCTTTGATGTCGGTTATTGATCAATCTTTTTTTTGTTATTTCAGCTTATTTTAGCGCTATGAAGGATAGTGGATTATATCAATGTGGCACTTACGTTTCGGGCAAGTATATTCTAAAATAACTTATTGAATTTATCTTTATTTTATTTTATTTTTTTTAATTAATTGCATGATACGGTTATTATAGGCCTTAGTGGTAGTTGTTGGAATTTGGCAATGATGTATACCTCTCTGGCTCGTAGCTCCAACAATCACCCACTTGATGAAGTATTGGATTACTATAGAAAGAAACTTACTCATAGTATCACTGATGTTCGTGGTGTTTTTAGAGAACTCGCTAGCAACGTTAATCCTAAAGCTGCTGTAGCACATTGCTTTGGTGGCTTGCACCAGAAAAAATTGACTGAGGCTAAAGTAAGAATTATGGATCTATTTGGTGCATTGTTGGCTACAAAAATAATGTTAGGTCCGGACGCAACAAATCAGCATAATGATTTCAAATTGAGTCAACAAGCGAAATATTTTGAGGGTGGAAAAGATCTTATGCCTATATATGTTTGGTATGTTTGTTTTATTTTTGATTTTATTTATTTAGGTTTATTATATAATTTTTTTTTAATCAATTAAAATTTCAGCGCTTATCAAGTTCGTCCATGGAAAGATTCTCTTGATGAAGCAGAACAGGCTTTGGTCGAAAATTATGCTGAAGTTTGGGCAAAATATAAAGAAGTGGATGACCATTTTCAATGGTATGAAGTTACTCCCTATGAAATGGGAACTGAAGAAGTTGCTGGTAAGTTCTAATATATTTAACACGATTAGTTTAATTTTAATTTAATCAAAAAAAAAATTTTTTTGTAAACATAAAAATAGCATACATTCCCACATGGGCATTTGGTCGAAAGTTTGAATCGGGTAAAAGTATTACTAAAACACCTGAACAAAACCTTAGTTTAATGATTGGGTGAGTCATTTATCTTTTTCAACTTTATCATTCATATTTTCAAAGTGTTGATTTTAATTTGTTGTTTAGTTTATTCGGATCTGCTCCATCTGCACCTCTTCTTTTCGAAATCAATCAGCTTGAACTGGCTCTTGGAAACGGATGGGCTAAAACTGAATTTAAGAACTTGTATGAACATGTAAGGGGAAATTATCATATTCTAACAACAGAAATATTAAACATATATTTATTGAATGATTGATTGATTTATCTATTTAACTGAATTGTTTTTAACTTATAGGCAATGAAAAAAATGGGTGAAGATCAACAACGTATTTTTGAAGGTCACCAACCTGTACCACCTCCAAAAAATCATAACTTCCTTTATCATCTTGATCCTCCACCATATAAACTTGGTGTTACGAATTCAAAAACTCTTAGTCTTATGGATGCAGGTGTATCCAATGACTCACCGGTTTATCCAATGACTCGTCCTGCTAGAAAAATTGATATCGTTATCGGTTTTGATTGTTCTAGTGTTATTGTTGGTCGTGAATTATTTGACAAAGAACAAAAAGAATTTTGTGCAACTAGAGGATTTGAACATATTGAACGTGATAAAACCAACCAATATTGTGAAATTCATGATTATACACCAAATGGCAAAACTAATGGTTATTGCCCACCTGCAGAACATCCATTTACAATGTGTTATTTCCCATATTTACCTAACGATAAAGTTGATCCAAAATTTATACCAGCTACTGAAAAATTCATGGCTTTTAATAATTTCACTTATACCACTGAACAAGTTAACAAAACTATTCAATTAGCTAAACAAAATTGGAAAGATGGTGAACAAAAAGTTAAAGAAGTTGTTATTGAAGTATGGAAAAAGAAGAAAGCTGCTAGATTGAGTGGTAATAAATAATACACTATTTCTTTATGTATAGTTATATATATTGTTTTATATATAGTTTTTTTTTTTGTGTATTTTTAAAAAAAGATGTTTCTTTTATCATGTATGTTCGCTTCGTAGGAATGCACTAATGCTACAAGGTTTTAGCACATACCCTTTATATATTTATTTATTGTATTAATTATGTAACTATCAACATTGATTTATTAAATATACGCATTTAATTATGAAGATTGTTAATTAAACCTTCATAGTATATATTGGAAAATGATCATCTTAAAAGAAATACGTACTACTGTATATCGATATACCTTGAATATTGTTAACAGATATAAAAATATATATATACATCTAAAGTAATTACATAGAACACCCGGCAAAACTAATATCGATATAGTACAAGCGCATATGATTTGGGAAACCCTATTTAATGTACAATTTTTAAATTTTTTGGGAGAGCATTATCTTTTTTTATTGTTGAGTCAGAATTTGAGTTGTTAATAAAAAAAGGTATAAGGTAGGTTTATATTTTTAAATTGACGAAAATTTCAGCATCATCCGATTTTTGCATCATCCAATTTCAGCATCCGATTTCTACATCACCCGATTTCAGCTTCACCCCATGATCGTTATAAAGTCTTTGGATAAGTGTTGCATCTACAAGAGTTATATACTTTGAAAATTTTTATAAGCCGTCCTAGTTTCGCCTACAAAAAAATATAGCTACGTCATAATTAAAGCTCAGAATCAATAACGATAGCGATAAAGTTGAGCTCTTTTTTTCCTTTAATTTCTAAAGTATTGTAGATATAATTTACCCGCCAATGTTGGAAATCATATGTTCACAAGAGCATAATTTTTTAAAAAAATCAATTTTTTTATTTTATGTTCACATTTGTAAACATAAATAATTTTTATCTAATAAATAAAATTTTATTTGTGAACATTATTTTTTTTAATGTGAACATGATAAAAAACAAAGTATGTTCACAAAAATCATATACTGTCTTATGAATTTCCAACACTGCTCGGAACCACTCAGCTTAACGTTAAAATTGTTTTTATTTCATAATGTACTGTATCGATATCTGCATTAGAATCTACAAAATTAAGATACATTGGCATGTTCCAATAATTACAGTATCTCTTCATAGATCCGAACCAGCAATTCTTATAATAAAAAATTTTCAAGAATTCCATAGTGTTTGTATACTTAAAAAAAAGGTTCGCTATACAGTTAATCGTAATGTACCGGCAAGTGAATATTTGATATCATTATTATATGACTATCTATATTTTACGTAGCCAAATTTTTATAAGCGCCACTTTATCATTATCGTGCTCTAATTACGTATAACGTATTTGGTGGGGCAATTCTTGAATGTGTGCCAGGTTTGTGGCGCAGATTGCCTGAACTACGAATCAGATTTCAAGATCAGGTGAAACG